TAAAAACAGTTGCAGAATGTCACTCTCCAAATGTTGCTAGGTGACAACACTGTTACACTGGGTAAGGTAAAGGTAAGGTTGCCTTTGACAAATTGCCCAGTTGTGTCTGACTCTAGGGAGCGGTGCTCATCCCCGTTTCCAAGCCATAGAGCCAGCGTTTGTCCATAGACAGTTTTCCGTGGTCATGTGGCCAGCGTGACTAGACACGGAATGCTGTTACCTTCCCACCAAGGTGGTACCTATTTATCTACTCGCATTTGCATGCTTTTGAACTGCTTGGTTGATGGGAGCTGGGACAAGCGACGGGCGCTCACTCTGTCACGTGGATTCGATCTTACGACTGTTGGTCTTCCGACCTTGCAGCACAGAGGCTTCCGTGGTTTAACCCGCAGCGCCACCACGTCCCTGTTACACTGGGTAGGGCTGCACTATAGCCCAACAATGCCCAGAGAGCCACATGTTCTCCATCCCCTCTATGTATAGAACATGGATAGCTAGGATGTAGCTGGGATGCCACAAGTAGCAAGGATTTTTAGTAATTCTGAATGGGAAGGGGGCTCCTAGCCACAGCTTGTAAAGTTGCTTTTAAAATTAACTAATTGCAATTATATTTCCAAGGATTCTGACACATTAGCAACTTATGACTATATCTATCCTTCATACTATCATGTCCTTTATTCCACACTGTCCTCATCCTTTGTCCTAAAGCTAATCTAGCCTTACAGCTATCCATTACAGCTAATCTTTATATAAAAGTACCTCTGAATACAGGACAAAAGCACCCTCCCAAATACCATGCCTTACAGATGCTTTAGATTCCAAGATCTATCAGCCACAGCCAACACGAATTTTGGGATCTGTAGTCCAAACCCTCTGGAGGGTGCCAAGTTTGGGGAAGGCTGGGAAACAGTCAGGATTATGTACCTGTCTGCTCCTCAATCACTTTGTGATTTAAGACGGCACCTTTATCAAAACAGCCAACTGTCCAAAAATGTGAAACACTTACAATCACATCTGTTAAGACGGCACCTTTATCAAAACAGCCAAGTGTCAGGAGCACAGATCACAAAAACTGTCCAAAAACTTGAAACACTTACAATCACATCCACATACATGTAGTTTATATTTGCTCATATGACTGGAATGGCACCTCCATGATGTACTTAGAACTACCACAGCTGCTTCTTTTCTATCCACACCAGTTAACACATCTTCCCCCCCGCCCCCTGTTTTCTGAAGCTATCTCCTTTCTGCTACTCATCTAATGAAGATTGTAAGGTCTTTGAGGATTACCCATGGACTCATGTGTTGTTTCTATGGTATAGCTCATTCCATGGAAAACCTGGATGTGTGTAACACTGGGCTATTTGTTGTGTGTGACAATGGGGCATTCGGTGCATCAACAAGTATCACATCCTCTCCTTCTCTGGGAAGAGTTCAGTTGACCCACCCTATCTGGACTAGGTGACACGAGCAAAAACAAATTCCTGAAGCAACACAAAAGAAGTCTTATTCTCCAAAGACATAGAAGGGGGATGGGGAAAAAACCAGACACCTCTCTCCGGTTCTCATAACAACACAGACTAAGATTCCCTACCTGCTATCCTCTGGGCCACCAAACCTTCCAGGTGCAGAGGTTCTTCCCCTGAAAGCCGGGCAGGTTCTTCATGACTCTCTGCACCCTTTCCTGGCACCTGGGCTTGAATCGTCATCCCAGGGGATGGGGGAGAGGTCAGGAGGGGATGCTGCCCTTCCATGAGCTTGTACGCCATTGCATGAGGTCTGGGAGAGGTAGGAGGGCTTCCTGCACTCTGACCATAACCTTTGGTTTGTGTGACAGCTGGCTGTTGGTTCTGATAGCCATAGGGTGAGTGGGCCTCTCTGTAATCCTGGGCTGTGAACTCTGGCTCTCCAACATTGTGAAGAAACAGTCTTGTGGGATGAGCTTTGGGTGCTGGTTCAGGCAGTGGGGACACAGCGGTGCCTACAGAGTTGTGCGAAGGGCTCCCTAGAATGGGACCAAAAGCATTGGTAGACTTTGGTTGCACCACTTGAGGACCAGTCACAGGCTGGGCAGACATGGAAAGCACCACCGGGTGTGGCTTGTCTTCTCTGGAGGCCACTGGGACGCTCTGGGATTTGTGCATTACCGAGGCAGAGGGATCCAGGTCAAGCATGAGCATGTTGAGAGCTTCAATTGACTGCTCTATCTCTTTCTGGGAGGCCACTCTAGGAAATTCGGGGATGCTGATGCTTTGAGAGGCAGCTGTTTGTGAAGGACTGGGCTGAGGGCTTGCACTGGAAATGCTGGGGCTTTTGCTGTCTTGGGCACCATCTTGCTGACGAGATGGTGGCCTGCTACCTCCTGTTTGCTGCTGCCAAGAATTAAGTCCTCTCTGGACAGCTTCTCGGCTACTTGTGCTCCGGGCTGGTGCCTGAGGGAGTTGAGGCGTCTCAGCAGTAGCCGTGGGGAAGGACTGTGAGCGGTATATGCCATTTGGGTCATAGCCATAGGGGTACTGCTGGCTGGAAGCTGGTGGCTGGGGTTGAAGCCAGGCAGGAGTGGGGAAGCCATGCTGATAGTAGTCAGCCAAATTGTCTTGGGCAGACACAGAAGGCCGGATGTGGCCATATGGATCCTGGGGATGACGCCCCATCATGCTCCGCAAGGTGTTCTGATTATTGTAAGGATAGCCACCATTGATAACAGTCTCTGAATCATGCAGCTTGTCTATACCATTGAAGTTGGATGAACCGTTGGGCAAGGAAGAGAGGCTTTCCATCCGGGGCGCCTCATGGTAGCCCATGTCACTAGTGTTTGTGGTACCATCAAAAGATGAGAGGGTACCCAGGCTACCCACGCTGTGCCCATCCTGGTTGGGTAACTCATCGTCCAATATGTCAGTCTCCCTCTCTGCCACCAAGCTAGCAGCCTCCCCATTGACATGCACCTGAGCAGGCACTATGTGGCGCCCAGATGCAGGAGAGGAAACCACGGCGCCTACACTGGGGTTGTGGTTATGCATGGCACCTTCGTTTTCCAAGCCAAAGCCACTGAGCAAGCTCTCCAGCTCCCGCTTCTCTTCAGGAGTCAGTATAGGATTGCTCCCTCCACTACTGCCGGGGACTGCAGGTGCTGCCTGCTCATCCGTCTTGTCTGTCTTGGTGGAAGCAGTGGAGTTGCCCGAGTCACTGCTGACTGAGAGCGTGTGCTCAATATGGTTGGCAGCAGCCGAGAGAGCAATACGGTTGGTGTTCACAGTGCCAGTGCTGCCGTGGAGTGAGTCTTTCTTCTTCACCTTGGCATAGAGGCTGCCATCCAGTGGCCCTTGGGTGTGCCCAACCTCTGCATGGAAGGGGGGAAAAAAGGAAGAGTGGGTTGGGACAAAGACAGAGAGGGAGAGAGAGAGAGAGAGAGTCAATAGTTTTTATTTTGCCCTACAAAGCCACAAAAGATTAATGCTCCAATTAAGTCAGCAATGCCAGTCATTAGCTATACTAAGAAGGAACAGTGAGACCCCACCAAAGGACTGCCAAGCATTAAGACATCATGCCCCTCTTCCAGAGCTCTGCAGAGTAGAGGCGCCTGTGTGTCTCTTCTGAGCACAGCTCATGCCACACTCCAGTCTCGCAAGAACTGATCACTGTCAGGGAAGCTACTGGAGCAAAACAAAATTTAATGGCTGTTTGCTTTATGCTGTCATCGGAATACAGGATGTTTTGCAGCAAATGCACCTGCATTGATCTGCGGATACATGAAACATCTTTTGCAGATGAAAGGCGAGCTGGGCAACCACAAAAGGAAAGGGCCATCCGAGTCTTGAAAAGCGCAGTCAGCCCTGCATCGTTTCTGACCCATCAACCCAGTGGCAATCCTCAAGGAGCTTACTAAGCCTCCCATTTTTGCAGTATACCGGGAACTATAAAGATCAAGAGGGTGTTCAAGCACCAGGCAAGCCCCAAAAACAGCAAGACTATGTTTGGCTTAATGAATAACACCCCCCCTCTGTGTGTTCTTATATAACACCTTTCCTCCAATAACTCCAAGGTGTTGATATGGCATCTCTCCCCGCTCCCCATTTTATTCTCATATCCACCTTAAGCGGCAGGGTAGAGCCCAAATCACTCAGTGAGGTACATTGTTGAGCCAAGATAGGAACTTGGGTCTCCCAATCTGAGCCCCAAACTCTAATCACTAGACCACAGCAAGTCTTGACACAATTTAGTGTTTCACATGGAAGCAAAATCCTTCTGTTCAAGAACTTATAACTTGTTAATGCCACATAATAGGGAAGCCAGTACTCAGCCTCTAATCAGTAGAGGACATGAGCCCTGCTGGCTTCAAGAAACCAAAAACCCCATGTGTGCCATGCCAAAGGACTATGGAAAGTCATACGGTATCTAACCTAATTCAGGAGATGAAGGAAGTGTAAGGGAAGGCTAACCATCAACTCCATCCATTTCACAACATTTAGTTCATAGTACCATGCTTCCCTGAAAGTATAGCCTCTAATCAGTAGAGGACATGAGCCCTGCTGGCTTCAAGAAACCAAAAACCCCATGTGTGCCATGCCAAAGGACTATGGAAAGTCATACGGTATCTAACCTAATTCAGGAGATGAAGGAAGTGTAAGGGAAGGCTAACCATCAACTCCATCCATTTCACAACATTTAGTTCATAGTACCATGTTTCCCTGAAAGTATGACAGTGTCTTATTTTTTGCTCCAAAAATGCATTAGGGCTTGTTTTCAGGGGATTTTTTTTTCAGGTACACATTTGCTCCAAAAATGCATTAGGGCTTGCTTTCAGGGGATTTTTTTTCCAGGTACGCATCATCTTCATCTGGTTGCTGCATAGTGGTGGCGGGCAGGATTTCACTTAACTGGGGCTTATTTTGGGTGATAGGGCTTATATTACGAGCATCCTGAAAAATCATACTAGGGCTTATTTTCAGGGAAACAGAGTATCTATCTAAAACTAACAACATGTTAGGTCTTATTTTCAGGAAAACAGAGTATCTATCTGAAATAAAACTAACAACATTGGGATAATTTTTTTTTTAACTAAAGGTTTTTGCAACCATGTTTGGAGCGTAGGTACTTTCTGTTTCTGATTACAATTTGGTTACTGCTGCTTCATTTTCGCTAAGATTTTTCAGCCATGGGGAAAAAAAAACAGCATTCCCTGCTGGTGTGATGGGGAGACAGCTTGAAGAGGACCAAAGGCATTTGTAACGTGGTAAATGGGGAAGTGCAGACAATGTCTGGCTTTTCTCCCTCTGACAGTCATTTTCAGCCATGACTGCTGTTCTTCCCCCTGCTCCCCTTGATTTCCATTCAGAGTCAAGTCTATACAACACAAGGAACATTGGCTTCATTCTGGACTACGAGTTCCAGAATCCTCAGCCAGCTTGGCCGCACTGGTTTCTCTCATTTTTGGAACTGTAGTCGAAAGAGAATATTTTCCAAACTCTGAGTAAAAGGTGAAAGCAAGACCTCAGTAGCAGTTTGTGTCATTTTAAATTCTTATGGTTGTATGAATTACCACTGGGAAACACCAGGTTTCCATCAGCTCATAAATTGCTTTTCCTTAGCATCTAAGGCTTCCAAGCTGCTCCATATGAGGATTTCAAGAACACATCAAGTTGAATTAAGATTTTTTAAATATATATATATATATATAGTACCCAGAGATCTAACTCTAAAGAAAATAAAACAACTCTGTGGGGTGTTTTTTAACCCCAGTATAAGTTCCCATCCACATCTGTGAGTTGGAACATTCTTTCTTACCCAGCATGTTTTCTACTTCTTCTTTTTTGAGGTCCCCTGGGAGGTTTCCTGCAGCTGCCTGCACTGCAATATGAAATGCTCTCATTTCGGGGTGTGTGTGTGTGTGTGTGTGTGTGTGTGACTTCTTCTTGGCAAGGGGCCAAGGGCTGATTCAGGGCCAGAAGATGGGCTAATGGAAGAGCGTGGAGTCTGAGAGCTCCTATCTGCAGACAGCAAGCACTTCCGAAACTACCTCACAGCCCTAACCAGTCAGAAGGGAACTAGCTACATTTTCTTTCCCACAGAGCTCCCGCTACGCAGCTATGAGTGTGCGCGTGTGTGTTTGTGGATGAACACCTATTCAGAAACTAGTCATATAATTGAAGGAAATGTCATTTGCTTGTTTGTTTTTCACACTGAACACATACCTATCCTTTTCAGCCAATACTTACATTACAAGACAATGCAATACTTACCATGCTAGAACATCCAAAAAGGACATAACTTGGCTTAAAAAAAAAAAGCATGTGGTATATATGTATGTTTCTTCACACCTAGCAACATACATGCACTATATATAAGCACTCCTATATATGCTCACAGTAGCTGTCACACTAAATATAAGTCTGGGTGCACAGAAAACCACCAAAACAATAAAACACGCCATACAAAGATTACAGTATCCAACTGGCACATGGATACAGCAGGTACATCTTAGTAGTTCGCAAGGTACACATTTTCTACAGCAGCAATTATTAAACAGCACTGCAGGCACAGTAGCACTCAAAATTGATTGAGAGTAACTTATATCTCAGTAGACACAGGAGAAACATATGCTAGGCCTTCCAGTATTTTCTCCCAAAAACATTTCTGATCTCTCTCCAGAAGCAACTCTGAACACAGCTTATTTGAACTGACCTTTCCCACAATGACTATTCGTAGGCCTAGTTGTGAGTCTGTAGACACGTCTCCTACTTTGCTTTAAAACGACAGGATAAAGCTCCAACATTCTTTCCCAAGGGTTGGGTAACCACACACAGAGAAACCTCAAATCATCCGGACAATTTGTGAGGAAGCCTTCCCCCTTCTCTTGGAGGAATGTAAGTTCTTCAGAGCTTCAGCCACCTCCCTCAGCCAACCTCAGTCCCTGTTTGGTCCTCTGGCAATCGATGGATAAATATACGTAAATGGTGGCCTACACTATCTGAGTCTGTATAACCAAAATGTATCAGCATTACTGTTATGGGAAGTAAAGCACAGAGCAGGTGGCATACAGCACCAAAGCCTACCAAACAGGAAATAATAGCATACATCTTTTTTTAGTTTATGGGTCCAAAACATGTCCACTGAGGGCAGAAGAACCTTCTGGAAGTCAATTCTATTGCCAGGGTGAGAGATTATTTTTAAATTGAAAACACAGCCGGAAAACATCCCAGAACATATCCTGGACATCATTCTATTTGAAGGGTCCATGGTAACTTTAGCAGAGACCAAAGAAGACAGAGACTAATCCCCTCCCCAAATAACAACTTCAGAAGGTTATTCACCAAGCTAAGACACTCACCAAAGGCAGGATGATGGGAATACTTTAGGATGTCCAGGGTGTCTTGACTCTACAAAACTTAGATTTTCCTTATTTTCCAGCAACCTCTGGAAATTACACTGTTCACATAAATACCAAGAGAAGGCAAGAAACGTTTCTCTAGATATGACAAATCAGGGAACAAGCTAGATGCAACAGAACAAATCTGTAATCAAGATCTCCTATTTAAAATAATAATAGCCACTGCTGGGAAATGTTTGTTTTTCGCTTAGAGGTGGCATTATGGTTTAGAAATTTTGTGCTACTGCTCTATATTCTCTCAATTAATATTTTTTTTCAACATCCTCTAAGTATCACAGGGCCATATAGGAGTTGTGGCACTCTGCCTGTCTTCATGTTTTAGGTCTTATAAAAATCCGTGTTGCTTTACAGTTCCTACAGGAAGCTTGCTAAGCCAGTGCTGAGGCCATTTGTCTCTGTCTCCCACTGGTGACAATAATAATTATAGCTGATGTAATAATCTGACTGCTACATTATTTACTCTAAGACTCACTGAAACTATACCACCAACAGTATTCTTTCCAGTAATGTCACAGGTGGCAGACGAGCATATACTGTAGCTCACTATTTGGTTCGCTTTTGGTGCAGTTTGGCTTGCCTTATTTTCCAGTGACCACATGTGTTTTAAGCAAGAGCGATTCATCCCTGCCCCTTTGTGAACTGTTCTGCTCCTTTCTGGCACATGCTAAGCCTGATCTGGTGTATTTGGAACACCCCTGATTATTCTGTTCTGCAATCTGTGTGATTCCTTAAATTGATCCCAAATTAGGCTGTGGGTGGTGTTCTCTTCGGTGACAACCCTATGACATATGCGGTGGTAGTGACAGGAGAATGGATGGTGGAGAAACCCTCTCCTTTATTTTCCTTTTCTCGCCATTTTTCTTAACATTCTTTTGCTACTGTTTCAGATACAAAAGAGTATTCATGATCGGCTGATGTACTACTGTTGCGCTCTGCCACTTACTAAATTAAAT